GTCATCCAAGATGTCCACATTGAATGTACGAGTAGATTAACCTAAATAGAATATTATTTAAAACAATGTTTTCTTCTACAGAAGTTTTATCAGCTTATAGATATAGCTAAATAATTTACCGGCATTCAGGGCATTTTGGATTGCATTGCTAGCAAGAGTTGAGAGATGAGATTTTGATCTCCTGATGTCAATACCTCATTACCGACGGTGACGGCAAGAATATTGCTCTCTGGATTGAACGCCATCACATTGGATTTCACCAATTGACTTGCCACCTTAACCGGATGCTAGCGTTGGATATCACAATTCCAATGCCGGTGTTTGCAAGCGCTTTAATGACTGCTGGCTCAGCACCGAAGAGCCTAACGTTTTGGATGGTTGTGGACATCAAAAGGTTCACCATCGCCTGAAGCGAAGGGAGGTTGTCGCTAAATTTCCCATAATTTACTCCCAAAAATGATTGTGAATCTTTGAAATTTAAAAAGAAAAGGGGTTAACACGAAGTTAACTCATTGGACAAGACAATATTTTTAGTAATAGTACGAGAAATTCACATATTTTTTATGATTTATCGTACAGCTGCTAGAAGGCCACTTTCATGTCGCATGTATGAAGAAAATTGGATGTACAATTATAGAAAAAAAAATTGTAATGCTATTTGTGCATCATTGTCCATAATGGTGTACAATAGATGATATGAAAGAGAGATAATGATTATAATAATTGAATTTTTATTATTTCCGTCTCTTTTTTTCTATTTCTTTCTCTTACTTGTCATTTGTTTGTACACTATTATGTACAAATAAGAGAAATTCAAACAAGAAATTTCGGACAAGAGCAGCATTGAATTACAAAGTAAATGAGCTTACTTGCAGAGTAAAAGTTTTGTAGTAAAAGGAAAACCAGGAAGTTTAGAGAAGATGTTTGCACATTTGCAGCCATGTGTATGGCTATCTGCGTCAGGTTAAGAATAAGTTGGAAAATGAAAATAATTGTTTTTTGAGACTTTTGTAGAGCACCCCAAAGACAACCATATTATATACAATCCTGTCCAACCGTAATCTGAAACCTAGGAAAAAATGAGGTACTACCTTGCCTAAAATAAAGGAAATTGTCAAAACAGAAAACAGTAAATAGCGACGCACCTTTTTTCTATATTTCTTGGTAGAGGGAAAACTAGTCCGGTTTTGTTGTATGTTAAATGACACGCTGAATTTGGTTTGCTTGGTGTTGAGGAGTTGAGATCTGCTGTTCAAAATTAATTGTTCACTTGCTATCCATCAAATAATTTATTGACACATCACTTTAAATTAACATGTTCAACTATTCTCTCACTATCACTTGTGCTTAAAAATATGTATAAAATGATGTGTCAATGTGATTCATACTTGTTTTTAAATAAAGGTTAACACTTGGAACCATTTTTATAATACTTGGTGACTAGATTAAGTTTAGGAATAAATTTAGGGAAGATTTCATAACTAAAAGGTTATGTTTCATTAATTTCAAATTTAAGAAACTAAGTTTAAAATTTNATGAGAAGATTTCATAACTAAGAGATTAAGTTTCACCAATTTCAAATTGAAGAAACTAAGTTTAAAATTTCAAATCTTTGATTTTTTTAATTTTATTTATAAATAAATTAATTAAATATATATTTTATTAATTAAATATATTGAGATCATAATTCTATATAATTTGGTCACAAATTCCACATAATTGGTCACAAATCACAATTTTTATATGTCACAAATTATTTTACTGCTACAATTCAAAAATTTTATAGGTCATAATTTGTCCACAGGTCACAAATTAAAAATGTGTACTTCACAATTTATTCGTGATCACAAATCTATCAAATTAATAATCACATTATTTATTGGTCACAAGTCACAAATTTTATAAGTTACAATTTATTTTATGGTCTCAAAATATCAAATTAATTGATCACAAATTATATTTAGGTCACAATTTTTCAAATTGTTGGTCACAAATTAATGAATTTTTAGGTCACACAATTTATCTATTTTCACTGGTCACACACCAACCAATTTATTGGTTACAATCAACCAAATCATTTGTGACCACCACCAACGCTTGTGACCACCACCACCACATCGCTGCAACAGCCCAAATCACCGTAGTCGGAACCACGAAAACCACCTCTCGACAACAAAACCATCGTTTCGAATTTGATAAGTTGTGATCGTCACAATTGCCGTCGCCACCAACAACAAATCAGATCCAAAACCGACAACATTCCACAATCGCCATCACCTCACAATAGTCGTCACCGCCTCCACCATCACCACCACAACTACCATATCCAACCTACACATCTTCGCAGACCTATTAAAAAGAAACCATCACAGTAACTGTTACGGACCTGTGTCAGACCCGCCACCTCCCCCCGCCACGTGTCCACGCACGTGGCCCGAGCCACGTTCCGGACGAGGTGATTAAACCAAAAACCGAACTGATTACACATGCCGAGGTGATTGCGCTAAGGACGAACTGAAAACGCGTCAGCGTACGAACCGGACTCATCCACAGGTACGCTGTGGAA